CGAACGTTAGAAAAAAAACATCAAAAAGTGTCTTCTAAGAAACGGGGCATACTGATGAGATTATCATGGAGCGGGGGTCGAAAAGTTGTGGACCACCAAAAAATTATAAAACAAGTTCAAGAGCGACATCACTTGCCCCTAAGAGGACCCAGAGAACAAAAATAGGCAGATGAATAAGACGAAGAAATACGCATGAGCGCGGAGAACCCACTTGCCCCTCACGCCCACTTACACCGGAGCTCCAAGGAGAGAAGTCGGAGACTAGGGAGGGCTCATATCACGCAGAGCGGCAAAAATTGCGTTCCCACCCACTCCATAGCTAGACATAACCTCCGAGGACGCGCTTTACATGTGCGACATAAATGGATCCGCAGCTGCAATAGCGTACTTTCTTCCCTCAAAGATGCGCGGGAACCGGGGTGTAAGGTCTTGCTACCCAAGTGCCGTCCCTGCACTCCGTTCGCGCTCTCTTCAATGTGCAACACCTGTGTTGATACCAGGATCCTGCAGCGAATACGCAGTCAAGTACAGGGATCAACCTGAAGTGGGAGGGCGCAGTTAAGGAGCGCGTTTGTCTGTGTGGGTGGCCGGGCGTTAGCGTGGGCGGGGTATGGAGACGACACTGGGGTATCAGTCTCCTTCAGCTCTCTTCCCGTGTGACCGAAGAGAGTAGCACGCTATTTTTGCTTTCATCTCATATATGACAAGGACCAGGATCGACGGAGAAGAGCGTGCGATTTGCCTTGATGCATGACCCTCCCACCATTAGATTCCACATCATTAATTACTCTTCGACGACGCCTTGTCCTGGCCGGCAGGCCCTTCCAGGTTGCAGCACCTGATTATCTGAGCCCACGAAATAAGTGCTCGCTATCTGGACAACCGGAACATTTCTTTCAACTATTACAACCCTTAAGTGAGCAATTATACCTCTTGTCCTTTGAGCACTTTGTCTGCCCCTATCAGGTCGGTGCTTTTCTCCACTGGCGACGTTTTAACGATTTGATACTCGTCTCATCTTCCATCGCAAATGGAGCAGGTTAATTACCAGTTACTACCTTCTAATAATTACTCGTTATAAAGCAAGCTGAATAGAAAATGTCGGATTTTAGCTCAACTTGACTTCGCTGAGCAGGGCTCTTGATTGAAATGTGTTTTTTTTCTACTAGACCATTTTCCTCATATTCATTCTTTATACGACCCCTACCACTAAACGCATCGCTCGAATGGCAGTAAAACCCCGTCTATAGGGTTAGGGGTAGGCACCTGGTTCAACTATCAGAAGTAGTAGCATATCCCTGGCCGTAACTAGAAATAAAGTGAAGCCCCGGAAGGGAAATATCTGTAATCTCGAAATTTTCGATTTCGAAAATGAGCGATTGAGCTCACTCTCTTCCTCCTTCCGGCGTCCAAATACTACCTGTCATAGGGAGGTTCCCAGCTACGATTTGCCCCGTTTCTGATGATGGGAGTCATTAGCGATGTGAGATGGGTGAGTAAGTGAACTTACTCTTTTTACGATGGAAAAAACAGTGTACTAAACCCTGTTTACTCAAAGTTACAGCATGTTGCCGCAACTAACGTGACAATATTTTACTGCTGAAGATAGATATAGCTTGGGGCACTGATTAGTCATTGGGCAGTCAAAATTCCAAATTCTGGAGCACTGGTCTGACTCGCTTAGCTTTTACCATGACCCGGTCCTCAAGGTATTCCGCCTTGGTAACTCATGTTCAGTGACTGCCTGACGTAATTGCTGTTTCGCTGATACTTGCAGGTTCATTGGGCTATCTTGTGCGGGTCGCGAATGAGAAATGCCTGGTCCCTGAAAAACACAGGACGCACACCCAGGGCTGCCTTTTCCACCAATAATGCTATATTGAAACCGCTTTGATTGGTGAGAAGGCCTACCCTGGCTTCCAATGCACGCCCTGTCTCACGCCTTATCGTCTGCAGGGATCATGAATGTATCACCTACTCTACAAAGCACCCCCTAAATTATTATACGTCGCGGTTGCAAAACTCTAGTGATAGCAGGAGATGCAAAAGTCGCACTTCGGCGTCGCTAGTTGACAGCCCAATAGGAAATTCAGTTCTTCCCCCGAAGTAATCGTGATTGTACACTCCTTATCCCTGAGACGGAGTAACTGTGGCATTTGGACATGGCATAAGAGGGGGCAACTCATGAGATATTTCAGTTCTAGACAAATGTCATCTTGTTCTGTGTTGTGAGCCCACTTTTGGACTATAGAAGACATCTTAGTCGTTGCAATATACAGTACGTCATGAGTGGAGTTCCTACTATATTACTAGTGCCCTACTTTACCCTGTGATCATTTATAGTTCTGCCAGAAGCGAAGCAATCAGGTGCCTACCCAAAGGTGCATGATTGTATAACTGCATACTGAATCTAAGGGTAATTTTATACTGTTAGCTGCTCACCTTTTGGAAATGGGGTCGAAATCTCACTAGGGAGTGCTGATTTGTTTCATAATCTGCAGAGGTTCAATATATCCACAAATTCATACCTGCAGCCACATTTCTTATCGATTTTGCTATTATCAAACAATTTTCAGAATTTCCACATAATGTCCCGTGGACGTCATGCGGACGATATACTCAATATTAATGTCGGAGGCAAGAAGTATACAGTGAGTTTTTACTATGTTTTGCCCTCGGTCATCTTGATTGTTGTGTTTTCGTTTCCTTACTTTGAACTCCGGGATTTGGACGCTCTTGCTCATGCCAAAACCATGCTGCCTGCATCCCCCGGTTCCACCTCGCGTCACACTCAGTGTTTTTCTTCACTTCGACTGAAATGGTCCAGGTCTCCTTCCGCGTGTGAAGTGGGTCCCTGTGAGAAGTTTTCCATGTGAGGGAGGGCCAGTCGGATCGGCCCCCCCCCTAGTAGACAGCCATCAAAATTTTCTATGCGGCACTGCAAACTATTGCCGACGGTACCAACCATTTGGTATACTCCCTACGATTATCCCCTCACTATGTTCATCTGCCATACCACTGCTTAGTTTCAGCTCACTCCCCATTTCGTGGGGTTTTTCGGATGCGTTTCGAGGGTTTTCGTCCTCGGCATCGTCCACTTCGGCGAACGCTCCGCCCATCAGGGGTGTGCTTCATTAATTCCGTCCGCCAACTGATTGCCTATCGTTTGCCACTTCTCCCACTCTCCGAGCTCTTTTGGAACCGAACTGGAATTTTTGAAAGTCTCGAAGCAAGCACCGCCCATCTGTAGAACGCCCCGCCCAAAATGGGTTTGTTTCAGTCATTTCGTCCGCGAACTGATTGCCTATCGTTTGCCACTTTCTCCGCTCTCGGGGCTTTTTTGGAACCGAACTACGAATTTTTGAAATATGAAGCTCACAACTATGCGCACGCGCCGCCCACAGTGGGCGGGGCTTAGCCTAGTTCACGTGTGTTCCGTACATCTTGGCCCATGCCCTACCCATCCCAACCTTGACCCGCCCCCTGAGACTGGCTCTTCAGGTAGTTCCGAATTTCCGGACAGACAGACAGACAGACAGACAGACAGACAGACAGACAGACAGACAGACAGACAGACAGACGTCGCCGTTTATATATAGTAGGAAGGTACGGATCGCTATAAGGCGACCATTTAGCGAAAGGGAGCCAGCGATGATATTGACCATAGGCACGGTGCAGACAGTAACTTACGTAACGCTTAAAAGCGCAGCCTTGCATAACAACGCTGCACAATAAATTGCATCCTCGTGAAAGCAAACAGAATGGACGGCGCAGTTGCCGACGGGGGGGGGGCATTTTGCACTTTCGTTGCTTCACTAGTTCCGGTTTACAAGTCTCACTCTGGTGAAACCTGTGAACTCTTGTGAAGCTGGAGCAAGCTCATCAAGCCATCATGGTAAAACCTGTCAACTCGAGAAGAGGCTGTCTAGATGGGTCGACACGTCGATGGGAAGTAGCAAAAGTGCAAAATGCCCTCCCCCGTGGCCGAACTGCGCCAGAATGACCTTCCGGTCGACATGGTTTCCAGGAAAGAGGTGCAACAAGAATCGGGAATATGGGCACTGGGCTGCCCAAGCCTTATCTTATTACGCTATGGGCTTGCGTCATAGTTGTTTGGACCTTTTTCTTTATACTGGCTTTTATCGGCAGCATTGAACTCACTGAGTCGTCCGAAAAGCAAAAGTCACAAAGTAATGGAACAATTATACCAAATAAAGTGAATCGATCAGAAGAGTCTGATGAACAACCCCCGGAAAAAAGGTGGGAAGTTGGTGGAACCCAGAAAAATTGAGGTATTGGGAGGGAGAATTCTACCAGAGGAGGAACTTTTTGGTATTTTTTTAAGTTTACCTCCAACGATAGGACGTGCCCTGAAGGCCATGCGTTTCATCCTTATGATGTTCATTTATTCTTTTATTCATTTATTCTTTTATGAAATGAAGTGGTTTTATTCGTTATTTGAGGTCCGGCGAACAGACATGTTGGCTGATCCTCGATCAAAGCTTGCTGAATGGTTCAAACCAGGTACCGTGAAACCCATCGCAACGGATAAGGTGGCCTACAGTTCTCAATACCTTTCTCGTAATTTCGCTACTGTTCAAAAAAGTCAAGTGATTTTTTGGCATTTTCAGGGTGGGAACTACTATTTGGATCGTGACGCTAAAACTTTCCGCCACATACTCGCATATCTTCGTTTGAAAAAGGAAAAATTCGTCCCCTCTCTTGCTCTTCCTAGTAAACCAGACGATTTAGCCAAGTGAGTTCCAAGCTAATTATAAGCACTTTCCAATAAAGTAACCACTGAGTAAAGGAAAAGCTCTACTCAGTGATAATTGGATTTTGACCTGCTCCATACTACTTGCTATTTTACCAACCTTCTCCACTCTTTCGACTGTTTTGTTCTCCATTTTCACCACTTGCGCTTGGGGACGTCTGTAAAGGAGCTCCAGCTGCAACTTATACAGGGGAGCCAAAAAAGACCATTTTCTTCCCCGACTTCCGAGGCAATATATTAGGTTGTTGCATAAGTTTTTTTTCCCCTGTTTTGATCCTTCCGTATTTCGTTTGCATGGAGGTTGGTATTTCGTCATCACGTGTGCGTGACGTGTACATGATACTCTTTCACCACACTAGCTATCACTCACCCACCCTGCATTTGCAGGCTACAATGCCGCACAATTACCAGTGCAAAACCATGTCACAGTGGTGATTGTGCGGCATTGTGGCCTTCTTCGGGTCCCAGCCCCCGTCCTTCTGGGACGATGGAATCGACAAGCTGCCTGAGCGTTGGCGTCGAGTAGTGGATGGTGATGGTGCATACCTCTAATCTTCAGGCTGGTTCGCTATTGAGATATTTACAAAAAAGTCGGGGAAAAAATTATGCAACAACCTAATAAGCTACACTTCATAAAATTCTGATTGGATATTTTCACCATCAAATTCAACAACTATCACGAAACTCCGCCAGCCTTCTGGACGAGCGCCATCGAGAGATTCTGCCACGCGACCGTGATTCGGTGCCTGAGTTCAGCGAGGTCGTTGATTTCTCCGCCACTGTAGACCACCCTGTTGAGCTCCGCTCGGACCCGGTAATCGAGGGGTTTAGGTCAGGTGACACACTTAGATATTCCGTCTTCTTCAGGTACTCAACGCCCTTTCATTCCAAGTAGGCGAGAGTTTTTCCAACGCCCCCCGATTCCATTTGGCACCAATCCTGTAGCACTACGAAGTTTCAAAGATGGTACAGGCGACGACATGAAGGCAGGATATACTTCTCAAGTTGGTCGATGTACCTTCAGTTCCGGGTCCACGAAGAAAATATCGGTCTTCTCATTCCAAGAACTTCCGGTCCATACCATCAACCCGCGCCTTGGCGACTGCGGTGAAGATGATCCTAGACCGTGGCGACCAACGTTGTCGGAGCTGCTCGATGTTGGAGGTCTCCAGATCAAGAGTACTGGTCTCCAGGTAGCTATCCATGGGTGACTCCATACAAGAAGTTTCGCAGCTGTTTGGAGGTGACGTGAATTCCAAGGCCTTCTCCAGTCAGGCTGCGACTGGAGATGACTTCATATTTTGGTGTACATGAAGGTGATGGGCGAGAGCCAGCTCCTGCTTATCGAGGAACATCTTGGGTATCTTCCGCCCTGGTACTCGTATCCACGTCTTCTCTCTGGGCTGCGAAAACTTTGCTGATATGTGACTCGGTCGAAGTGACTTTTTTGCCCCCCCCCCCTCCCTGTAATTCTGGCAGTGCAAACAACTCATTCGGGATGCTCATTGTGCTTCAGAATAAATTTCCACGGATTCAACGAGCCAGCGATTTGCTTGTCATCGATTGATTGTGTAGGGGCCATGCATTAGATTCCTGCGTTGAGGTGGTTAAAAGGAGCACCTCTCACATGAAACCTGCCCTGCAATAGGCTGTGATCAAGTGATTCGAAAGGCTTCTCTTTTTTCTAAAGGCTTTTCGAACTTAACTATCTTTCGGTCCTCCACAATCTAAAACGACTTCCACAGTTCTCGCACAACTATGCTATGATCAGATTTGATACTCACTATCCACAAAATGTGATCGCGAAGTCTGTGCAGCGTTCAAGAGAAGCCTCTTAGTGAGACTAGCAGACATCCTATAAATTTAATACCTTTGTTATAGTTGTTACAAGTTTTCTGAGCAGTTTCATATGTATGAGTTCAACCTAGGAAACTAGCGTTTGTTATACCTGACGACTTCAACATTTCCAGGTTAGTGGGGGAATGTGAAGCACTAAACCTTGCCGAACTGAAGGATCTTGCCCTGGATCTACTCCAGAAATATCAACGAACCGAAGAGCAACACTATGTGACATCATTTGTGCAAGTCACACTCCGTGACTTTGAAAGCTGGCAATTTGAAAGGGAGCAGGTACGTTCTGCTGCTGTCTGCCGTCTCGCACATCTTTCTGCTCCCACATTCTTCTTCGGTCTCTCGTCTCATCAGGGTCTTTTTGTCTCTCGCTTCTTCGTACACTCGTCCAAGATCATCTCTATTTTGAAGCCCCATTTGAAGAGTTTTCGAGCATCTTTTGCTTCTTTCTTGCTTGAAGAGGAGTTTAATATTTCTAAGGTCGTATCAGAACACCATTACAGCCTCATCATTCCGGACTGTCGGGTCGGTTGAGGCGCGCTGCACTTTTTCGCGACAGCGGCTGCGGCTTGGTGCTGTTTGCCGCCAGTACGGGGCAACAGTCAAATGCGCTCTTGTTCCATGCCCCCATATGCGCGCTTGCTATGGTGACTGGCGCCTTTCCGATGACAGTTGCCGCTGCTAATCAGCTGATTTCGATGGAATTCGACTGCGAATTGCTACTTTTTCAGCTCCTCAAGCTTCGAAAGTAGAAGGTGAGTCATTCTAAGCAATTTTAAGTTGTTGAGAGAAAAAAAATGCAAGCCAATCGAACAAATCCTTGAAATACAAGGAAAAGAGCATAATAATAGACATAAAATAAAGGAAATTAGAGCCAGTACAATTTAAAATTGTTCAAATAACTCACCTTCCACTTTCGAAGCTTGAAGAGCTGAAAAGTGGGAAATTCGCAGCCGAATTCCATCGAAATCAGCTGATTTGCCGCGGCAACTGTCACCGGAAAGGCGCCAGTCACCATAGCAAGCGCGCATATGGGGGCATGGAACAAGAGCGCATTTGACTGTTGCCCCGTACTGGCGGCAAACAGCACCAAGCCGCAGCCGCTGTCGCGTCAAAGTGCAGCGCGACGCAGCCGCCTCGACAGCATTTATGAGGACTGTCTTTACGACTCGCAAAGGAAACCATTCTTTCAGAGGACTAATACTTTCCACCAATCTAAAATCCCAGAGAAACTGAATGCCTTCGTTTAGAATAGGTCTCTGTATAGTCTACTGCTTCCTGATTCAACTTCGAATTTGAATTTAATTTTTGTTTCTCTTTAGAACCAAATTGCATTGAAGAAAAAATCGTCCAATGAAGAGGAATATCAGTCAAATTCCGCTTACGACGAATGGGATAACCTGTGAAGACGTGTTTTTGGAATATCGCTTCTGTAGGAAACACTGAAATCTTCACGAATCATGTGTTTTCATCGTGTACATTTCGCTTTGTAGACGATCTCGTATTTGAGCCGCTGGAAAGAGGAATTTGGATGAGTCGCCACAAGTTGTGACGGTCCAATAATTGTATTTAGCTATGTGAGACAAGCTCCAGCAAATATGGCTCATCGCTTCATGTGTACTTCGAATTTGTTTGCATAGAATATGAAGTAGTAAGCTAATGCTGCAATAAAACGTTTCTACAAAAACTTCAGTCAAATTTACCGGAGTAGAACAAACTAGAACAGATTAGAAGTAAGCAAAGCGATACAACAGTACGGTTCTCCGCACTCAAATCTTAAAGCAGTCAACGCAACTAATTAGCCGTCTTAAGCTTCCAGTCAGCTGGACTATTCGAATTCCGAGAGAATTAGCTCCCAGTCAACGCAACATTGAGATTCTAGAAAGAAACCTAATGCATAGCTTATCCCGGAGTACTTGGCAAGGCTGCGTTTATATTTTGCGGCAGCGTCTACCAGCGACCAGTAGCATCCAGCAGCGTTCCGAGAATCCGGCAGCGTCAGCGACTAGGAAAGTATAGATATCGATCTAGCGCCTGCCAGTGTCTGCCAGCGTCCATGAGCGTCTCGAGGGCTAGGGAATTACCTAGCGTCTGCAAGCGTCTACCAACAACCAGCAGTGTCCGGGAGTGTAGAGTAAGGGGCGATAGGAGGGCAGCAGATAGCTGTAGAGTATGGGGAGATAGGAGGATAGCAGAGCTGGTAAAGAGTATGGCGCGATAGGAGGGTAGCAGGGAGCTGGTACATATACCCCTTTCCCTAGTCCTCGACACGCTGCTGATCATTGGTGGACGCTGGCGACGCTGGCAGACGCTAGATCGGTATCTATAGTTTCCTAGTCGCTTGGCTGCCGGATGCTCCAAAAGCTGGTGGACGCCATTGGTCCCTGTTCGACGTTGCTGCAAAGTAAGAACGCAGCCTATAGGCGCTAGTAAGCTGGAGTGGGGCACACCTGTTAGCGCTTTTCAGAGTACTAAAGCCTAAGCTGTAGAAATGTGAAAACGCACAACCTTGTCAACACCCTGCAAGCCCCCTTTTCACCTGTCAGACACCCTGTAGACTCCTGCCAAATTTGTCAGTGTGAATGGTCAAGTGTTGGGAAAAGTGGAGAGATGGCGCTTCAATAACGCCAGTAGCTTTTTCCCAAGCTTGACAGGAGTTTACAGGGTACTTGCGAGACACGATTGTGAAAAGACAAAAGAAAGAACAAAGGTAAATATACACGAGGAAAAAGTACATGGATGTGGCCCACCCTTAGGTTATCAGCGCCCTTGGTTTACATTTGGCACGTTTTATTTTATCATTAACTTCTTGCAACGACTCCATCATACTTTTTCCCTGCCTAAAAAGATCCTACGTAAACAAGTCTTATCATTGTCTGTCTGTTGTTAAGAAATTCCGGTAACGAAGGAACGCTTGGACAAGGATCAGAGAACAATGGGGAATTTGCCCAACACGTGCGACTTGATTCTCTGGTAAAAAAAACGGGTGCTACGTCTGTGACGCATGTTCGACAAAGAGTTTTACGTCACAAGGTCAACGTTGCAACTCTGAAAGGAAAAAAAGAGAAAGGAGAAAGATCTCTGCTTTCCAAAGAACATTAGATGAACACGTCTTTGAGTGGCTTTGGAAGGCGTGTTCATCTGATGTTCAGACGCCTTCTTGGGACATGGTGGTCCTGCTTGGAAGCATGGAGGATGTACTACTTTTGCGTAGAAGACGGAAAAAACGTGGGGAAAAACGCGATTTGCTCGCGGCTGGGTCAGGTCTCCACCCACTGACCACGGCACCGCCCATCTTTCACTTCTAGTGGTGTAATAGCTCTCTCCATTCAAAATTGTGAGAATGAGGTGGTATGAAAAAACAGTTGACAGCAACAAATGAGAACTAGTCCGACCCTTTCCTCGCCTTATGCACCTACAAGGGTCGTTCAACACGGAGTACTAGATAGAGCATTTCGGGCTGGATCTTTCTGGTTATTTTCTTCACTTTTGTGCTATTCACCATCTAACCCACCATTTTCGACTGGGTGGGGCGTGCCTTTGACTTTTTTTCTCAAGTTCCTTCGAACCTATCAGATAAATGCGTATACAAATGGAACTGATCCCCTCGAGGACACAAGTGGGAAATGGCTCATCTTCGGATACGCCATGTATGAGGCTTCCATGCAGAGGTGGTGGAACAGTGCAAATTCTGGGCAGTGTCTCACGCAGATGTGTTCACAGGATTTGGAAAGGGACGGGTGTCTAGTACACGCTATGATTGGCAACAAATACCTTTGGCCTATTCAGCGTTTATTCAGCCTTCAACCCAAGTGTGAGAGAGCTCCAGGATGGGTGAATCATTTTTCCAGAAGGGTTTGCAGTGCGGTAATTCAGCTAAGTTCCAGGAAATCTTTAGATGCCACTCTACTCATTTTTGCGTGATGGCTTGAACTTTTTTTGCATAGTCTCGTTGCGGAATCTGCAAAGCAGACAAAGGCAACCGAGGGCCAAGATGACGGCAACTTTTGCTCAAGACCAGTGGGAAGGAACCCAAAGCTGGGTGAACCAACTCGTTTGCACAAGAAGTCGTTTTAGCTACTCGACAGCAGGTCGATGCTACTGTTCCCGGACCTTTACAATGAAGAATTTTTTTTGTCGTGGTTTCAAATGCCTTGTGTATTGGGCACCAAAACGTTCCGCCCATTGAACCATCTCAAGAAATCCAACAGCCGCGGAGTCTCCATCCTCCTTTTTATCTTCCTCCATATATCTTTCTCTTCTGTTTTTTTTCTTCTTCTTTCTTCTTCCTTCTTCTCCCTCCGAATGCGCCAGAAGGTGCGATGGGAAAACACCTCTGGACCCTCGCAGCGAGAGAGTATTCGATTAACAGGCTCTGTCAGGGCGCACCATCGCGTTGTGATAATGTCCTGAAAATACGACCCTCCCTAATTCCATCCTCAAATACGACCCCCCCCTCCCCATGCTACCTACCACTTTCCTAGATTTTCCCAACTTCCTACCACTTTTTTTCCCCAAAAATTTCCAGTTTTTCAGCCAAGAATTTTCCGTCGAGGGAGGGAGGGAAGGTCGTCAGGATTTAACTATCATTTTCAACTATCGGAAATAGTAGTTGTATAGATCTTTGGCAGTCCCTCTCCCAACAACGACCAAATACGACCCCCCCCCCTTTATAGCGTCCGTGAAACGAGAAATCAACTATCAAAAAAATTTTCCCAGACCAAACGACCGACCGACCTCCCTCGCGGTTAAATACGATCCCCGTTGTGATCATCACAACGATGGCGTGCCCTGGGCCCCCTAACCCATGTTGAACCGGCGTCACCACTCCTTCTTTGATTTGAAGTATTGAAGTATTCTGCTGAGGTAATTACTGTCAGGTTCAGTTTTATGTGAAGTCAGTACAGTAACTAGTTCTAGGGGTAGTAGGTTGCATGTAGTAGGTTTGCTGACAATAAGTGCAATATTTTGCTGCCACACTATCTCCGTGGAACAGTTTGGTGTTTGGCGAATGAGTACGACCATGTTGCGAAATGCTGAGGCTACCTTTCTAAGTTCACCACATTTCTCGTAGTAGCTGCTCTAAATAAGTATCTGCCTTTATGTCGAGTCATGACTAGAGCCCCTGTGTAAGGATCCTCACCGAGAGGGCCGTATTTTGTCGATGGAGGGAGGGGGCCGTATTTGCCTTTGTGAGGAACGTTTTCGGTTGTTGACGTTTCCTATGGAGGCAAATGCGGTTTCCCCGTTTCGCTTTATATCCCGTTGGCTCCAAGGCAGTTTTTTAGGCAGTATTTTTGCGAAAACTGAAGAATTTTCGGTAACCTCCGGAAAAGCGGTAGGGGTGTCGTACCAGAGGAGGTACTTGCGGGAGCGATATTTTACGGAAATTTTTCTCAACGGCACCACGTGTCCCGCTCCAGTGACACCTGTCTCGCTGCTCGCATACGCTCATCGATTAATGCGTCTCGCGGATCAATACCAGGGAGTCGCACGCCGCAACCGCATCGGCACAGCAGTTCAAAATCTCCGCGTTTTTTCCTTCGGCTGGTTATGCCTCTTGCTTCTCCCTTAATTATTTCAGTGTTCGAATATTACGGTTTCTGTGTAAGTAATTTCCTTTGGTCCATATACCGAATGGGCTAGCAGTCACAACTGTCAATCTCTTATCAGAGTTGATGTTCACTTAAATTGCTGGGTGGAAATGTTTCTGATGTTGCTTTTTACTCCTTGATCTCCTAGCAAATCAGTAGGCGGCTAACTGTGCTGGAAGAGGCGCGGCGTCGCAAGCGAACTAGCAGAGTATTTTCTAATTTACGGCATTACGCGCGGCAGCATTGCTATGTTGAACACGTCCTGACGAGAATGACCCGTTTCTTTTGTCGCCTTCGCCGCGGCTCAGATCTGCTGAACTGCATCTCAGTTGGGGGGGAAGGGAGGGGTTACGTCTAATGGTAACTATATATTGTCTGCAAACTCTTCCTAAGCAAATCTGGACACCTGCGCTCTAGGCTCAAGCCTTGATCATGAAAAGATACACAGAGGCGCAGCCGGGTTTCTCGCTTACCTTGCCTCTAAGCTGCGCCAACGGTAAGCCCCAACAAGGTTGCAATCGTAGTTGATTTCGCTTCTGAAGCGCTTCTGTGGGTCTGCGGTAGGTGATAAATATGTTAAATAGGCTAGAACATTTGAACTCTCGAAGTAAGAAGTATAGTTCTAGTGTAATATAGGCGTGGTGCAGATGTTTGATGCAATAGTTCGTTAACTTACGGTAACCACAATTCTGTATGTACAATGGGTATATCAGAGCTGCCTCGTTCGTTTTCGCGCTATTTCTTCTACTTTTCTTTTATTTAAATACTTTCTTAATGCTGAAACATGCAAAAACGAGAAAAACAGAATTGAG